TCTTGTTACTACTAGTAAGGCACTTGTTACTATAGTAGCTTCTTGTTACTACTAGTAAGGCGCTTGTTACTTCAGTAGCTTCTTGCTACTACTAGTAAGGCACTTGTTACTATAGTAGCTTCTTGCTACTACTAGTAAGGCACTTGTTACTACTAGTAAGGCATTTGTTACTCGTAGCGATGCACTTCCTATCAATTTCCATGTTGTTCCTTTGAGGGTCCACGGTTTTCCTGGCGTCGATTCTCACTGGGCCCTCCGGTCCCTCCGTCCGGTTGGAGCCGCCCCGTCCTCAGGGGATCGCTGCCCGTACTGCCATCTGTGCAAAAGGGGAAGCTGGGCAGCAAAACAAACATGGCCAAAAGGGAGTGGCAGTGGGAGTGGCATTTCGTGAAACAGATGCGGTTCACAAATGTGGCAGAGTTTCTGCGCGCATGAATGGATCTTTGTGACATAGTCTTAGTGGAACGCCAAGTTGCCTCATGTGACAGACTGATGAGTAATGATAATATTCTAGCATATTCAGCAGTGACTGGGGTAGAAAGGGTCATACAGGGTCATACCACACCCGTTTGGAGGAGTCATACCCTTCCCTTCTCCACCCTCGCGGGGCCTTGACGTGGCAGGCGCCGGGCACGCGCACGCGCACGTCTGCAGACGGATGCGGTATGATGCGGTGTAGACTTCTATCAGTGGAGGGTACGTGATGTAGAGGAACAAAATATGATTTACGAAACATCTGTGTTACGAAAATCGCATAAAGCCACAGACTCCAGAAACACTAGTCCGACATGTGTTACGAAACATGTGTTATAAACATTTGGTCTATATACTCCTTTTTGGGTCCAAGGGGCCATGCCCATCCGACTTTGCGGCGCGTCCCGCCACGCGGACCTCGGCGTCCCCGGGCCAGCGCGCGCCCGGGCCCGGGTCGTTCGAAGATGTGATGTAATTCGCTTTGGACCTCGGAGGATGTGCTTCCCCAGAACATGGGCAGCATGCTGCTGGGTCCTGGGTCCGTAACGCGCAGAGGTTCTTCACTCGAGACCTTGACCTTGGGGGACAGCCAAGACGAGTCAATATTCCTTTACGTCGCCGCTTGCGGCGGGGGTATTTTATAGATTATATATATATATATATTATCGGTATATTATATATACTGCAGTCGGCCCTTTACATGCTGTTGGAAGTACGTGTCCATCACCCTTCGGAACATCGACCCCCTTCTAGTGCCTTCAGTGACCAAGGGGAGATCAAGCGCCGGAAGCGCATGAAGGCGAAGGCCTCCAAGGAAACAACTTCCGGAGAGGCTGAGGCGCGGTTGGTGGGTTCCGGCCCATCTTCTTTTGGAAGAAACATTGTAACATGGAGAAAGACTGTCCGTCTTTTTCAGTGTCACTTGCACGCAATGACATTTACAATGAGTGCTTCAACTTCCTAACCCATCATGCAGCAGTATGCCTGACTCAGGCACCTGAGGAGCCTGAGGTTGACGAGTAGAAGAGGAATCGGTCACGCGCCACCAGTCACGCAAGCTGGCTCGGTGGAGCACGGAGAATGCATTGGGACAGCTGGGTTGGGAAATGGCTTCCCATGTCGTGAAGTTGTTTTTCCCTTTTGTAATCCCCATGTCGGGAGTCGCAAAGAATGTCACTGGGATCTGCGCAAGCCTCTTTGGCATGAGTGAAATTTAAGGGTTCTGCTCATGTATCCATTCCTAGGCCTTGTGTGCCTAGGCAGCCTGGGCGTCACAGGTCCTTTGGGTTGGCCCAGACATCGATTTTTGAGATACAGTCGGGTGTTGTTTATTGTTTAAATCTCACATGTTGATATTCCAATGATATAACTTGTCCTTAAGTTTTAATAGGTTCAACAGACATAATATCCATAATGGTTCAAGACGCCAACACGAAAACAGCTTGGATGTCCATGTTCAGCTCCCTTGCCCCTCGAGTTTGGAGATGTTGGAGAGCAAACAGGGGGTGAAGAGGGCAACCAATGGCCTGAGCACTCCATCCAAGAACACTATCGAATTTGATGTGCAACGTTTAAGGGAACGAAAAAGGTCTTCGGCAAGCTGAGTGCCTGGACCAAAGCAATAGTCGGAGGTAGTTCCATGATTATGACATGAAGTAGTTAGGAGGGTTGGAAATGTTCGGAAAGATGTAATTTGTCCATGTCTATACGCACCTGGGGAAGTTTCCTTTTTCTTCATCAATGCCAATATGAACAAGTTCTTTTCTAGATGTAGCATGGGTCACGGTTTTGGCACTAAGCATGCTATATAGCAAAACCAATGCTCCAGTGCATTCAGATGCGCGTGAGCGTGTTTTAGTTGCGTCATTGTTTGTGTTTTCCCCCGATTCTTTCCGGGACTGGCGCAGTAAACGCCCACTTGCCGGGAAAAGATTTGGCCACGGTTTGGATCCAAGCGGGGTCAGCCCTGACAGCAAAGCGATGGCAACTCCAGAGGCCTGGCTTTCCAGGGCTTTCTGGCAGAGTATTCGGGACGTGAACCGTTTGGACAAATCTAGCACCGTTTGGCCTGAACTACTCACTGCCATGATGCAAAAAGGTCGACATTTCAGTTGTCACGCATAAGTCTCAGGGTTTGCATTTGCTTCGAACATGGTGTTTTTGAACCCTTTTGAATCCGGACCGACCTTCCATGGAAAAGGGTTTCGCAAAGAGAGGGCCTAACGGGACGGGAGGTTCCAAGGATTCTGCGTGTGTCCTGGAACGAACGCTTGTGGGCTCGTGGAATGAATACTATTCCTGGTGCTGTGGACCTATGGCAAGTGTTCTTGTATGGTCCTTGATTCTGTTCGCGTTTTAGTCTCGAGTCTATATATACTCTGCACCAGTGAGTTGGGACTTGTGAATTGGGACTTGTATAAACTCCTATCTCATCTGGGGGTAGTATAATATATATATATATACATCGTTTTCTGAGAATTTGCTTTGAAAGTCTTTTGGGATAGCCTCACGTCGCCGACCCGACCAACGGACATTCATGGGACCGGAAGAGGACCACGTATGACCACGCATGAACACTGCTTCAGGACTCAGATTGTGTGGATGGTCCCAAAACGTGCGTCCTGCGGATTGTTGCAACCAAAGGGCAGCCGTGTCCATGTTGGCTTTGGCCCATTACGCTGGATACGCTTTGCAGCGCATGACCCGGCTGAAAGCGGCCCTCGGATCCACAAAAAGAGACAAAGGTCCAAGTCCTGGATGATCGTGAGGGACTCATGTGAGGATCATCCAGAACTCACCAAGCTCAGATGATTTGAAGCCAGACTCTCAGATCAACTGAAGCAAAGAAATGGTGTTTTTGGATCATCTAGGAATCTAGGGCAGCCAGATGGTCCTGCGAATTCGTACCCTTCATGCAATGGCAGCGTGGGGCAAACAATTTGTGCATGGATATGTTTACTTAGAGGTCCATCCTCTGCCGGCCATCCCATTTGGGCTCACCGAGGCTCCAGGTTAACGCTACAAATGGTCGCTCTGTTAGGCTCAACAGGAAACATGACCATTTGTTTCATCCCGAAACAAGCAGCGAACGGCGGGTCCAGTTTGAAATCCAGCTGGTCGGCATTTGACTCCGGGAAACAGAGGCCCATGAAAAGCCGCTCACGTTGCAGATCGACCGGATCGAGCCGACTCCGTCGCGTGCGGCCACGGGGTGTCGCATGCGGCCACGGGGTGCTTACTCGGTGAATCCGTCGGAGTTGCTTCGTCCCTGAGGTCCAGGCCAGCGGCAAACTCCCGGTTTCGAAGGTTCTTTTCAGGTAGAACAGATATAGTGGGGATGTAGCTCATCAACGATGCCAGGAAGTACCCGGAGCCCCCACCTTCTTTTCTCATGAACTGGTGCTACAACCACTGGAAAAAATACAAAATAAGGTGGGAACCATATTTGGAAGAATCCAGAAACTCTTGTGGCACTTGATTCACAGCATCGCAAACATGTTTTGTGTGGTGGAGGTTTGTTTGGATCCTGGTAGCATGAGGACATCGGATGTATTGGCTAAGCCGGCTAAGCCTCGTGTGGTGCGCCGTTCCGATCCAGTTCGTCTCTTGGCGGAACCCCCACGCGCTCCACGGAGGCCGCGAACATCCGGTCGACCGGTCCTCCAAGACCGGACCAAATCCCGTCGTTTTGGCCGTCTAAATCAGTCCAATAGACCTGGACCCTCCTGTCAAGGTGTCCTGGCTGGACTACCCCACACTACCTATGATGGCTTCCAGACAGGGCACCCCACGGTGTCGGGTCCTGGTAGTTTGCTAAGTAGTTTGCTATCAGGTTGGAGGCCAGTACTAGGTTGAAGGGCCATCCGACACGAGGTCACGCCGTAGCCGCCGACACGTCGGATGCGGCGTGACGGTGCGGAGGCCGTGTGCTCCGTGGGCGCGATGGTCTCCTGCCCTGGTGGAGGGAGCTGCCAGGGGAACCAGTGCTGCCCAGATGGACACCCGGAGGCAGTGTGGGGACAGCACAGCGGGGCACATGAGCGATCAACTGCAGCGTACTTTTGGGGGAATTGAATGGAATTGATATGAATTGATCAATCACTATCAGTTCAAAATAGGACGTGCTGGTGATTGTGGGTGGGCACAGGTGGGCACTCGAGTAATTAATCGGTTCAAATGAATGGAACTCGCCAGAGGTGGACCGATTTAGAAGACTGAGCCGAGTTTGCTTGGCGTTCTGTGGCGCACACTTTTGTTAATTTGTGTGTTGTCATGATTAAATAATATACCTGGACCTTCCACGGGTGTGTTTTTTCTGCCGTTTGGCGAAGCAGCACAAATTTCAGTCGTTTGCCGTCAAAAACGCCGTTTCATTTCAAAAGTGCCGTTTCGATGTTTTTACAGAGGTCGCCAAATTAGCAGTTGGCAAAAGTCGCCGTTTGGTCGGGGAAAGTCGCCGTTTGGTCGGGAAAAGTCGCCGTTTCAAAACCTTGACTTACCATAGAAAACATGCCAATGCAAAAAGTGCTTCAGTACAAAATAGTTGGCGTTTGCTTGAAAAAGCAGTTTTGATTGAAAAGGCAGAAAAAATGCATACTTATGAAGACCCAGGTATACTGCACCTACAGAATCCTACAGTATATTTTGCTTCGGCAGCTTCTTCTCCAGTTTGTTTTCTTCAGAAAAAAGTAGTGCGTCAGTTTCGGAGGCCTTTTTTAAGAGTTTGCAACTGAGGAAGCACGTGCCCATCTGCAGATGTCACTCGGGCAGATGGCTGGGAAGCTGCATCAGGTCTCCCCTGCAATCCCCCCTATAATGTTAAAACGCGGAGCCAGATTCTTGTTGTAGTCTCAGTTCAAACAAGAAGCTACTCCTGCATCGCCACTAGGAGCGATCGGACGCTACGAACGGGGCTCCTGGCCTTACTGCTAGGAGCAAGGGGACGCTACGAACGGGGCTCCTGGCCTTACTACTAGGAGCAAGAGGACGCTACGAACAGGGCTCCTGGCCTTACTACTAGGAGCAAGAGAACGCTACGAACGTAGCAAGGTGTTTGCGTTTCACTTGTTATAAAGGTCTTCATCCTGGCAGACACCCACCGAGGGAAGGAGGGTGCGATGTCGACCACGCTGCCAGCCCTCCCAGTATTTGGACATGTACTCTTGCTGGTGTTCTAGTCTGGGTAAGTTGCATAGGTCCTTGGTGGTTGTTATTTGTCCACATCGGTTGAAGAAATAGGAGCCTCCACGTCTCAGGTGACCTCAAACAGTCTTAAATACTGTTTTAGTATTGGCAGTCAGTATTGGTTTTGCTTAAGGATTGAAGTTAGATCTGCAAGGAATCTTCAATAAGGGTAACTTTTAGATACTTTTAGCTTTAGATATTTAGTAATTTAGAGTGTATTGATTGCGCTGTTTTGGGATTTGCTTTATTCAGGAGACAATTGCTATCAATTGCTAATCATAGGTCGGCTTTAGTGGTTGCACCATGCGTGCTACCACTTTATCTTCTGCAAGTGAGCATGAGTCGCAGATGTGCCATGGTGCTCTGAGAAAGCTGTTTGTTGACATGGGATGCCTTGTAGGCAGACTTTTGATGCAATTTGTAAGATGTACGTATGGTTATGGTGTGGCTTTCTTCATGTTTTTTCCTTAATACATTGTTATCACGTTGTCAAACATATCATTCCAACTTGAGGGCTCATTCACATTCCACTCTTGTCATCAATAAGAAATATTGTCCTTTCGTGCAGGGTTCAGGGGAGTGTTTTTGTGGTTTCCTCATGACTCTCGACCGGGAGGAATCGCTGGCATCATTCTGGAACATGAACGGAAGCTTCCTCGAATCAGTGCAACACCATGTCTTCTGGCCAAGGTGGGCCCTTTGGCACTCAGTATGGCCCCACCGGCTTCCACTATCCCCCCCCGTTGCTTGTCTTCTTGGCACCGGCACGGGCGAAGACGCTTGGGGTTCCGCTTGGGGTTCCGCTTGGGGTTCCGCTTGGGGTTCCGCGGGTTCCGAGGCCAGCTTCAAAGGCTGTGGCGACGTGAAATCGGAGGATTGCACCAAGGCCGGCCTGGCCTGGCCGAAAGCGGCGCTCGGGGCGTGGGGGGTCGGACCGAGGTGGGTGGACCGCCACGGGAGAAGAAGGACCTGCCCGGCCCGTTGAGAGTTAGATGTGACAGAAGGGCTGTGCCGGTGGTGGTTGGAGAGTAGGGATTTGGTCGGCCTTGTGGTTGGAGATTCCTTCAGGGCTTTGCAGTGGATTCGCCACCATGAGCAGCATTTTGGGGAATCTTTCCACCCAGTTGCCTCGAGAGTTGGATCTGCTTTGAGAGGGAGAGAGAGAGAGAGAGAGCGAGAGAGAGAGAGAGAGAGATGTAAAATTCAGCAGCTATTTGTTTGTCGTTTGTTTGCGCACGTCTCTGTATTGTTTTCCTCTTCAGCTGGCTCAAGGCCTTTGATCGAAGGTGCATTGTATAGCACCGTGCAGTTGTACATCAACACTACGATGGAGTAAGTAAGCTATTGTGAGAAAGCTTGTCTCTTAACACCGTCCCTTGGTTTGATTCATTGTTGAATCACACCATCAATACAAACATTGTTGAAACAGTAAAGAAACATTATTGTACAAAGCAGTTCAAACATTGTTAGCAAGTCTGTACAGCTTCTCTGCCATTGTCTCTCCAGCATTGTTGCCCTTCTCATCGTGGTGCTCGTGGGCATTGTTGCCAGAGACTTGCAGTTTGTAGAGCCATTGTTCTACTCTTGCGACTCTTCCATCTGGTCACTGGTCGATTGTCGAGGGCGTTTTGTGCCCTTTCTCCTCTTCTTCATCTTCTGACCTTTCCATATCGTTCTCATTGTATAGGACTGCTCGGTCCTCCCACAAGGAGATTGTCGAGTTTGTGGGAAGTCGACGCTGATTGTGGTAGTCTGGAATCGTCATCTCCATGGCCATTGTTGCCCTTGAAATTGTTCTCGAGAAAGTCGATCCCGATCGTCAGCGCTCGTGTGCCGGGAAGAGGCTGCGGTCAAAAGGATTGTTGACAAATTGTCAACTGAACATGCATTGTCTTCCAAATTCAGAAAGCAAAAATCCAAACACATTGTTCATCGAATTGTTCTACGAGTCGACGACAGAAAGATTGGATCCATTGTGAGACTGAAATCTAATTGAAATCTTGTAGTGCATATTGTCTATGACATAGTATGCACATAGTAGCTAAAGTAGTGTGCCATGGCTCGATGCCGCCGTGTATGTATTGTACACGCGTGGATGCTGCCATGGTTGTGAAACTGTTTGTGCGATCGCAGTTCATTTGTGGTGTTGTGGGCATTGAATGCCCGCCATGTAGAGATGTTTGTTAAGCACCTCTGCCGGGACATACTTTGTCAGTATGTCTGCTGGGTTGTCGTGTGTGCTGATCTTGTGTATTGACAGTACCCCGCTCTGTACCAGTTGTTGTATGAAGAGGTACTTCAGGTCAATGTGCTTTGCTTTCTTTGACGAGCCAATTCTTGTTGCAATGCTTTTGCCGCTTGTGCTGTTTGTGTGTATGCGAATGTTCACTTTTGTTGTTGTTGCTTCCTTGATGAAGTTTGCTATGTGTAGTCCTTCTTGTGCTCCTGTGCCAATTGCGTAAAGCTCTGATTCTGCTGATGATAGTGCTACTACTGCTTGTGTTCTACTTCCAAATTGTACCACGGATCCCATCATTGTCACGATGAATCCGCTTGTTGACTTTCTTGTGCTCGGGCATCCTGCCCAGTCTGCATCGACGTAAATGTTGAGATCGATGGGCTCCTTTGTTTGTGGTGTGTGTGTGTGTTGTCCTCAGGATCATCTTGTAATGTTGTGTTCCTCTTAGGTATCGCAGAAGATGCTTCACCTTGCGTAGACTTTGTTGTGTTGGTTGTTGTAGGTCTCGTGCTAGTTCTTTTGTAGCAAAGCTGATGTCTGGTCTTGTGTAGGTCAGCCATTGTAGTTTTCCTACTGCTCTCCTGTAGTCTGCATGTGCTTGTGCATCTAAAGGTGCTTCATCGTTTGTGGATTGTTTCAGGGTTGCCGTCCCTGGAGCTGATGCTGGATTGCTTGCTTCCATCTTTGTTTCCTTTAGCAGTGTTGTGATGTATTCTGGTTTGAGGCTCACCTCGAAGAGGTCTCCATTGTTGTGAATGTCTCTGCCAAGGAATTGGATTGTCTGACCAATTCCCAATATGCCGGTTGGTCGTAGTAGTACATGCTTCTGTACTTCTTTGAAAGTCTTGTCGACTTCTTGTTGTTGTCCAAGGAACAGTAAGTCATCCACATAGACCATCACAAACATTGTTTGTTCATTGTTCCTGTACACGTTGGGTTCACTTGTCAGTCGAGTCAGTCCCATTTGTTGCAGGACTTGTGCAAAGTGATCTTGCCAAGATTTTGGACTTGATCGTAGTCCATAGATTGCTTTGTTGAGCTTCCACACTGTGGTTGTGTTGTGACCACTTGGGTATAGTTCTGGTGGTGGCCACATGTAAAGATTGTCGGTCGCTGCTGGTGCATGTAGGAATGCTGTTGACACGTCTCCTGCTTGTATCGTCCAGTAGTTGTGCTGTGCCATTGTCAGGAGGATGTGTAAGATCCCAAAGATCGGTGTGCTCGCATAGATGTTGTCAAGGTCTTGGATTGTTTCCAGGAAACCTTTTGCGACTATGCGACATCGCACTTCGTCTTGTTTGGGTTTGTTGACCCACTTTGACTCGATGATCTTGTTCTTGTGTTCTTCTGGTACATCATTGTAGTTCATCTCTGTGAAAACTCCTTGAGTCTTCATCGATTGTGCTTCTTTCTTCATTCCTTGTTGTACTTTCAATGGATCAAGACCTTCATTGTCGTAGACAAAGGGTTCTTGTAGCATCCTTTCCACTTCTTCTTGTTGTTCATCTTCACAGGATGCTGTGGTGATCTTGTCACCTTTCTTTGTGGTGATTGTCACTGCTTGTATTCTCATCTTTGCTTTTGGTTGTTCGTCATCTTGTCCTCTGTTTGCTGCTGCTGAGGACTGCGCTGTCCTTGATTGTTTGGATTGTGCTTCACCTGTAGGCTCCTCGTGTTGTCGCTTGCTTGCTGGTGGTAATGGCAGTGGTGGTCTTGCCGTTGTTGTTGGTGATGTTGCCAATGGTGATGTTGCCATTGTCGTATCCATTGGCTGATGATGCATTGCTTGTGTTGGTAGTGCCAGTGGTGTTTCTTGTGCTGTCTGTGTGCTTGTATCTTCCACTGTAATGTCAGCTGGTAGAAGCAATTGCGGCGGAATTGCCATTGGTGTTGTTGGCAAGTTCCATGGATACACGTTGATGGTATCCAGTAGTTGCTTGTCGTACTTGTCTGGCATGATCTGTCTTCGTATTGTTCTTGCTTTGATAACCTTGCCAGGGATGCCGACTATTGACTCTCCAGTCATTGTATCGTATCCCTGCCAAGCCAGATTCCTTTGAAGAATCTTGGCTCCATCTTGGGTTGTGCTTTTGTTGTTGGTATCATGTATTGTACTGTTTCTGCCATCTCGCATAGTGGTGCTTTGTGGTCCTTCTGCCATCGTCTTTGGTAACTTGTTTGTCCATCATTGTGCATGGCATACCTGTTCAGTAGCCAGGCTGCATGCCGGACGATCCACGGCATGACCGGATGTTGTACGCTCAGTGTGAGGTTGTAACTTGTGGTCACTTGTTGTACCAGTGCTCGGACTTGTCCCATCAAGGTGCGATGGAATCGTTCAATGCTTCCTTGTGATTGTGACGAGTATGCCGGTGATTGTCGGATGTTGACGTTGTTTCCGAGCTTTTGTGCGACGGTCTTCAGCAGGTTCTGTATGTATTCTTCTTGGTCTGATTGTAGCGTTGTGGTGGATAGTGTTGCTTGTGCTCGTCCACATTCAAACATGAATGTTTGTAGACATCGTGTCAGGTCTTGTTGTTGTTGGTTCTTGTCTTGTACAAGAACTGCCATTGCCATTCCTGATTCGACATCTATTGCCGTGAGTACTGGTAGTACTTGTTTGTCTCCAAATGCCTTCATGTAGGTGAAGTCCACTTGTATCACTGGTTGTTTGCTTGCTTGTTTTGGGTGATTGTTTGTTCTTCCTTTGCTCTTTACACATATTGGGCACCATGAGCGATATGGTAAGTGTGTCAGCTCATGTTCTAGCCTCTCTTGTCTTGTTGGTTGTTGCGGTGCCTTCATTCCTTTTGCTCGTTGTGCTTGTTGAGATTCATCTTCATTGTCCGTATCGTACTCGTACTTGTAAGTCGCTTCTTCTTCGAAGTTTGTTGATCCTGTCCATTGTCTGTCAAGCTGTCTTGCTCCTGATTCCTGCCAATTGTCATGGATTGTGTATCCTCTTCCTTGTTCCGTCCTGTTCACGAACGTTGTCCGTGCCGGTTTGAGTCGTTCAATGTCTGGACCATCATCTGTCTGTTGTGGTACGTACATTGTAGTCCGTACTTGTACGTGAACTCGTTTCCAGTAGTGTCCTTCTCTGAACCAATAGTCTGTTGTTGGTGTCATTGTTGATGGATCAGGAACTGCCGTGGTCATTGGTGCTGGCTTCTTCGTCTGTGTCTGTATAGTGGCTCTCTGCTTGACTGTGGTGTTGTTCCGTCTCTGTCCGGGACTTGCAGTGTTGTGGGTTGATGTCGTGCCTGTATTGCTTGTGATGCTTTCTCTGTCTTCTCTGTTGTCTTCGCTGTTGAAGGTGCTGGTTGTGCTGGCTGCTTGTTCACTCTGAACCATGTCTCTCCTGTCCATGTGTCTCCTTTTATCACTCTTCGTTGTTCGTGTTTGTTCAAGTCATGATATTGTTCAACAATGTCTTCGTTGTTCCCGTCTGTTCGCCGAATGATTGTTCGTCTGTAGTTGCTCAATGTCTCCAGTGGTACTGGGCAATTGTCGCCAGGAACAAAGAGAGCTTTCCTCTTGTTCCGGTGATACCGTACGAGGTATCCTTCATTGTTGTAGTTCCAGTAATCGCTATTGCCTCCAAGGACTTGTTGTGGTCCATGTCTTGTCAGTGTTGTTGGGGCAATCATTGCAATCATGCCCTTTTGTGTTTGTCTCAGCTGGAGCTGTTGATGTTGTCCCAGGTTCATGACTGTTGCTGGTAAGTAGTAGAGATTGTACTGCTGCACCAAGGGAACATTGAATCCCTTGTCATGGCGCATTGTTGGAGTGTCGTTGAACCTGATGTCAAAGCCTTGTTCTGCCAGTCTTGTCACTGACAGAATTGGGTCGTGGATGTCACACACATAGAATGGTATGACAATTGGTTGTCCTCTTGATTGCATGTAGACCCATCTCACGCCGTAGCATTGTATTGTCTTGTTCGTCACTGTCCTGAGATTTGGGCTTTGCGCTTGGTCGATCTTGTACACTGGATAGTTGTCTGCAAACCATAGTGGACAGACATGTGTGGCTGCTCCACTGTCGATCATGATGTGCATAGTGTCTGTTGCGCCGCTGCTTGTGGTGTCTGTCTTGTAGACATTGCCATTGCTGATCATGGCGATGACATGGATTGGTGTCATGTCATTGTTGCCATTGGACGGAATTGGTGGTAGTGCCAATGGCTGTTGTCCTGGTTGTGATCTCATGTAGTCCTGATAGTACCATCCATTGTCATAGTAGTCATCGTACCATTGTGCTGTCGCATCCTCAATGTCGTTGCTTTCTCCTTGTCCAATGTTGTGTATTGCCACTCTGCAATCTTTGGCAAAATGTCCTGTTCTTCCACATCTGTAGCATGTATCTGTTGCTTGTTTTCCTTTGTTGCCTCTTCCGAATGGATTGCCAAAGCCGATCGGACTGTTGTTGTAGTTGTTGAATCCTTTTCCTCCATGCTTTCCTTTTCCTTTGTGGCTGATGTTGTAACTGTTGTATCCGTAGCCGTTGTATCCTCCGTAGCCTTTGCCTTTGTTCTTTCCTTTTCCTTTTCCTTTGTAGCCGTTGTACTTGCCTTTTCCTTTGTGGATTGCATCAATGTCCATGGGTGCTTGTCCTCCACCGAAGCTTGTTGCTACACTGGATGATTGTGATCGTACTTGTTGTAGTTTGCTGAATGCTGTTGTTGATCTGTAGTATTCAATGATTGTTTGTTTGACTCTTGCATAGTTTGGGCTTTGTCCTGAAAGGAGTTGTAAGTGTTGTTGTAGTGGTCCACTTGTCTCATTGAGCAATACGGCAATCTTCACTGAGTCTGGGAGTGTTTGTCCATTGTCTCGCTCAAATCGTTGTAGTTCAAATTCCCATGTGGAAAATGATTCTTCGAAGTTGTTCTTGTCAAACGTTGGTTTCAACAATCTTGTCAAGTGTCCTATGGATCTTGTCCCCAATGGGATGGAGAAGCGGATGCACAGTTGTCTGTACATCTCGAAGCCAATTGTGCGTTGGTATTGTCTGCATACTGTAGCTGCTGCTCCAGTCGTTGTGTTGATGAGGATGTACCTCAAATCAGTGCTGAGGCGAACATGTCGTTCACCGTCTTCGATTGTTGATGCCGCTGCTCGTAATTGTAGCTCTGTGAGTTCTGCTGTGCCTCGTTCTGCTGCTTGTAGTAGTTCTGTGTAGTCATTGTCTTGCAATCCCATGTATGCTGTGAACTTGTACTTCCATTCCTCGAACGTGCCATAGTCTCCATTGAAGAAAGGTGGTTTGAGTTTGTATCTGTTCATGTTTGCCATGTTGGTGATTGTCTCGTCTTCTGGAACTGGAGGTAGGCCATCTCCAGCTTGAGCTGCTGCTGGTTGTGCTGCCATTGTTGCAGCTGTGCAAGCTACCTGTTGTAGGGTCAAGGCTTGCTCTCCGTTGTCTGTGTTTGTGTGCTTGTGCCTGTTGTTGTATTGGAGCTCACCTGGATTGTTGTTACCAGGATCCTTGCTCCGCTACCATGTAAAATTCAGCAGCTATTTGTTTGTCGTTTGTTTGCGCACGTCTCTGTATTGTTTTCCTCTTCAGCTAGGCTGGGCTCAAGGCCTTTGATCCAAGGTGCATTGTATAGCACCGTGCAGTTGTACATCAACACTACGATGGAGTAAATAAGCTATTGTGAAAAAGCTTGTCTCTTAACAAGAGAGAGAGAGAGAGAGAGCAAGAGAGCAGAATAATATTTCCAGGTGAAAGGCAACCATGCCAAAACTTATATATATATACTATTACATACTACAAGTGTAATCAATTACAAATAACCTAACTAAATATATATATATATATGTGTGTGTGTGTGTGTTACTTGCCTGCGGGTCTCCTGTTCATTGGTTGTTTGCACGCAGAGATAGCAGACCTCAGTGCCGGAACTAGTTTAAAGGTGTTTGGAGCTGATGCAGGAGGTTGACGAACTGATGCACTTGAGACTGGATTATTGTTTTGGCAAATGTGCAAGGCATGTTGTTTTCTTCAAAAGCTTGCTGCTTGACTCGTAGCCACGTTGACAGTGGCAAACTCGCTCTCAAGCTTGCTAGGGCATATACAGGCATATATACATATAACATAATATATTACAATATAATATACTAGAACATAATACAATATAATACAATATAATTTATATATACATATACCAGCTAATGACATACATAACTTCTAGTTCAAACGCAGAACAGACTCGAGAAACATTAATCAGAATTCAACAATAAGAGCACGGAGTAGAGGCTTGGGCACATCGCCATAGAGTGGAGTAGACTGTGTTGTGACATTATGACTAACAATTCACCATGCTTGTAACAATCTTGCTATAAATGTTGGTTGGTATGCTTCTCGGATTTTGTTGGTTCCTTCATATTCCAAGCAGCCCATCCCATCTGGAAACGTGCACTCCGCACCGGTGTTTTGTTCAGCCTCAGAGGTCAGCGAAGAGATGCATTTGCTCCTCCTTTCGGCCCTGGGGCCCTGGACCCGCCCCTTGGCGCCGAGAAGCCTGGGCGGTCAGCCGGGCTCGCGGTGTCCCATCACATGAAGCTCCGGTCTTCCGCGATCTCAAAAACCGGTCTTCACTGCAGGCTGCTACTCCCCATACAGGGGGATGCTAGGCATTTGGTTTCACATATGTGTTAAAGAAACAAACTGAGAGTTGCGCGTCGTCCAAAACCTTTCTTTTTGGGGCCGGTGTCCTGACATCTATATGGGCTATACTAGGGCCTTTAAAACGTTTGGCTGCTACTCACTACGAGAAGAAAAATCACCGCTCGCCACCAGGGATCTCTTCCGATCTTCTCTTCGCTCCTCTCAGGCGAGTGAAAGGCGCTGACGCCGGGCAAAAACGGCTCGTGGCTCGTGGAGCTGCGTCCGCTCGCGGCGGTATGTTATGGGAGGAGAACCTGGATGAACCTAACGAGGATCTGACTATAGGCTATAGGTGTGTGTTTGATTCTCACTGACTGTAGGCTATGGGTGCCCTTTGATGGAATCACATGATGTATGGTTAGGTACTATGGTACTGATAGTATACTGTACATGGCAATGCTTTGGCACCTGGGTGGATTGACTGGGCCCTTTGATCACATAAGACTGCGTCTCTAAACTCTGCCGGCTCTTCTTCGCCTTTCGATCGCACAAAAAACTAGACGACTGGGCAATCTGGTTGAAAAAACGTTCTCCCCCGTTCCGTCTCGCAGTTCTTGGAATTCCTTCAAGACATACTGCAACAGAAGCTGCTAGACTCTGCTCGGCCATCGAAGATGGTTTTTTTGGTTTTGGATGCGTCCAACCCTGTTTTGAGTTCTATCTAAATTGTGTTGGCATCGAATCCGTTGGCCCCACTGCCCCACTAGACCAGTCGTTACAGATATTACACTGTCCTACTGTTGTTCCATCATACTATGAGACACGCACCAGCCATGGTGGAAGATTGAATCCAATTGGGGAAAACAAAACACCAGCGCCTTGTCCGCCGCCACCGTTCGGCTCAAAAGACATGGGGCGAAGGCCCAAAGGCCCCGAGGAGAAGCCCACAGGTTTCTCGTCGAACAGGGCCGGAGTTTGGGATGGAGAACGGGACACCTATCAAAAAGAAATTTGATTCCTATCAATAAAACACTACTGTAATTCGTATCAAAACAAACATTTCCCCCCTACTCCTTCGGTCTTGGTCGCTTGGTCCTTTGGTCCCTTTGTCCTGGTCCCTTGGTCCCTTGGTCCTTTGGTGTCCTCTGGTCCCTTGGTCCTCTGGTCCTGGTCGTCATGTCTTTGGATCTGTACTTTCGGGGCGAGTCGCGTTAAGGGTGATTTGGACATCTCCTGGTCACACATCCTGTGAAGCACTGTAGCAGACCTTTTATCTCGACACCTAGCAGACCTTTTATGAGCCACCCGGTGGTAAATTTAGACGAGTAAGGTGCCATTCCAATTTAGCAAACCTTTTGTGAGCCACCCGGCATTAACATTTAGAAGAGGAAGGAGCCATTCCCACGAAGCAGCTTTTGTTAGCCTTGCGAGAGTAAAACTTAGAGGAAGAAGTTGCCATTCCAACGTAGCAGGCCTTTGTTTTGTGAGCAACCCGAGGGTAGAATTTGGAGAAGGAAGGTGCTAATCGAGTGTAGCAGACCTTTTGTGAGCCACCTGCGGGTGAAATAAGGGGAGTAGTAAACTTAAAGGTCTCGAGATTCAGAGAGATGCAGGTCTGGAGTCAGAAAGATCATGGTCAAGATGCACAGGTCTAGAAACCCAGAGATCTAAAGATGTTCTAAAGGTCTAGACTTGTAGAGGGTCTAGACAGATCTAAAGGCCGAGATCCAGAAAGGTTTTGAGATGCAGAGAGAGGTCCAGAGCGGCTCAGATCCAGAGATGTCAAGGGCTCTTTTGCAGAGGTCTTGAGATCCGCAGAAATGTCGCGCCTGCCACGCAAATTTCACTTCGAGGTTCGCGATCGCTGCGCCTGCCGCGAAATCTGCACTTAGAGGTTCACCCAGCCCCACGCCTGCCGCGAAATCTGCACCTCCAGTGCACAAAGTGCCGCGCCTGCCACGAAATCTGCACATCAAGATTTACATCGCGGAGCCCTGCCAAGGTGGTTCGCACAGGCAGGCGCAGCCCTTTGTGAATTGATTTTTGGTTTGTTTTGATATTTTTGGGTATTATGATATAAAATGCTTTGTTGCGATAGCCCGGCCATGGAGAACTGGGCCGAACTGGTGGAACGAGGATGTGGGCAGAGGATTTTTTGAGGAGGTCGATGCTCACATGATTTCAGATGAAATGTAGCGATGAAAATACGGTAACTACATGACTACATGATATCCTCCAATTCTTCAAGGCTTAAGACATTGAATAATTTGTTTGAAACATTTTTGGGTTCCCCTTGGGCGTTGTTGTTTGGTATGTTTTGTCAGCAGCCTGGTAACCTGGTAAGTTGTGGTTGTGACAGGGACACAGGTTCTTCACCCTGCGGCGTTTCAGGTCTTGTCAGAACCCGCCATTGGCAGCCTCCCAGGTACACCAGCTCCGGGTGCCTTCTCCGCGCGCGGGGCGCGGAGCCCGCGGAGCCGCGCCCAGCATGTTGCCCATGCCAATGAGTGGGCCTTAGGGGGCGGACTTTGGTGCCCAAAATTGTTTGGCTGGGGCACACTTTTTGAAGATGGTAGAGAGAGAGGTCGGTATGGATGGTGCTGCTAGATAGGTGAAGAAGTGAGGCTGTCAACAGTTAAGAATTTAGATTTACATTCAGTGTTTTTTTCCGGAGACTTGGTCGAGTCGTCGTGAACCATTTCATACCATTTCATGCTGTTTTTGAAGCCATCGAAACCTCGAAACCTATGTGGTTGCTAGGCCTTTTTGATTCAAAAAACTATGGAAACACTCAGATTGTTGGAACGCAGGTGTTGCGGGCCCTTTCAAGTTGTTGGAAACACTTCTACTGGTGCTAAGTCATCCTTTTGTTGATTGGTACCCATTTGATTGATACCCATTTTGAGCTGGAAGCTGCTCATCAACATTTCTGCCGTGGAAGCGGTCAACCTTGGTTCTTTGGAAAACCTCATAGATTGTAAACGGTTACTATACTACATATACTAGCAAACAATCAAACAATCACATTGCCCCAATGCTCAGAGCATCTCGCGGCGTCAGACACAAGTTTTTTTAATGTCCTGACGCACCCTGGTTCTCTCACTAAAACACATTGCAACGCGTGTTACTCTAAGGTTGGGATGAAAACAATCGCAACAGACTTATATACCAGGACTGGTACTCGTACCAGGACTAGGACCATCCAATGGGTGTCCGATGGACTACTCAGCACCACTTAGGGACCTCCCACAGTATGGTCATGGATGGTCCAGGTATGCGAATGCTTTGGGCTCTAGTTAAAATATATGTGAGTGTTCCCCCCGGCATCCTTGGCATCCTTTGCGCGTTGAGGCCGCAAAACACCACGGACCCGTCCAAGTACACCAAGGATTGGAGACAGGGAAGAGGGTGAGGAAGGAGCCCCACACGGTTTACCAGAATGCTGACAGAGCCAGCAAATTCTGCCTAATTGTGCCAGGTGGGGTTGAACTGGGGAGTGTTGTGCCCTGATTGATTTCAGCTCATGATGACTTAACCAAAGGAAAGTCAAGTGAGGAGCCCTTGTTGAGTTGTATTGTATGTGGTAAATTCATCACATTTGTACATTCACCCGGGTGGTTTCAAGGGATGATCAGGGGATGTATTATGATTTCTTACATGCATTTGCACACCAGCCGGTTCAGATATTCGCAGTTGTGCTTCCTTAAACGCCCCTTGGTGGCGTACCGTTTCTTTGAAATGTAAAGCCCTGAAGGGGCAAGTACTCCCAAGAGATCGCATTAATATCAGTCAATATCCCGACTACTTGGAGGCTGAGGACGCGTCACAGCCAGCTGGGTGAGCCAAGTTCTGCCAGGAAGGGGTTGGTTGACTGAGAAATGCCACCGGGTAGGGTGCTTCATGTAATTTCAGGTTGGCCATTGCGTCCGATCATGTTGGTTGTCACTACGCTTGCTTGCGTGCCACACAGGCCAAGAGGGACATGGAGCCTGGCCGTGCCCAGACAGAGGCTGTCAATGGTTTTCACATTAAGCACCTGTAAGCCTGGTAGGAGAACATCCCAACTATACTGTACTTGGTTCCTTGTTCTGGGGTTGTCACAAAGCCGCCAACAGCGTTTGGCGGCTCCAGCAGGGGTTCCTTCATGTCAATCTTGGCCTCGATCATCCGTCCATGTTGTCCCGGAAGCACCAAAAGCACGAAGGACATGTCACCTGGAAGGACATGTCACCTGGAAGGACATCGCGAAAGTACGAAGACTCTGAGGATCTCCAGTGAGTTCAGTAATGTTGAATGTTGACTACTAAGATGACTAAAGCCCTTCTGCCAAGATGGTTTAACAGTTTAACATCTCCTATTTTGGAAGGTTTTCTTGAATCAACCGTCAACAATTCGCATTTGTTTTGTGTATTTTTCTCACCGCCCATGAGCAACCTCAAGCTTGCATTGCCGCCGGCCCCAAGATCTATCAAGATTTGCTCGGCACGACGCGACTGAGGCACGACAGACTTGGGGCGCGGCCACCTCGGACGCATTGTCCAAGAGATATAGCGCAGGGAGCACAGAGTTGAAGAGGATCAAAGGTGGATGTGGGTTTGGCTGGTTTGGCTTCAAGAATGCCACCTGGCTGCTATTTCAGTGGCAGATGTGGCAGACAACCAAGAATGTCTCAAGGAGTTTTTGGGCACCCCGACCTTCTTTTTGCGAAGAGGTCCAGATGATCCAAGGTACTCGGGTGGGATGGCGTGGTGTGATAGCATTTGTGGCATATCCGGAGCCTGGAATAGTCGAGTGGCGTCATTCATGCGTTCATTTTTGCAAAACAACCAAAGAGGTACAGTTGTCCATGTGTTGGATAGGTGAAGGCAGAGAACATGCTAGAGCTGCGGAGATGGGAGATGAGCTCGTTGGGAAGACCACAACAACTGCTATTGACTGCTATACTCCAACTACTTCGCAGCTGCTGTATACTCCAACTACCAGTACTTCTGCTCGGCCTGTGACTGTAACTACTGTGCTCGGCCGGCCGGGCCGAGTCCGACTCGCCCTGTGCGGCCGGCCGAGGCCGTGGCCAACGACGAGAAACAGTCGGCCCAGAAGCGTGAGGCCGGGTGCGGGGCTGATGGGTCGTGCGCCAGGCGACCACCAAGCATGAAGCACCACCCAAAGACCACCAAGCAACCCCTTAGATTGACCCATGATTTGGTCGACAGCACCCTGCTCAGCAGGGTACTTGTAGATATTTTTGCCCAGCCTTCAGTGAGATCAAGCAGGATGCAACCCAAGATGTCCGTACTTTCAGTTTCATCACAAAGCAGCGGAAAATACATTTGAGGCTTGGTTCCATTTGGAACTCT